CGGTTTGTGACTTGTTTTGCTACTTTACATCCCCAAATACCCACTAAATAAGCTGGATTCAGATTTATGACCATGTGAGGTGATTTGCTTGATGACCATCATAAGAACAATCCATAAAATTGAGTCCGGTTATGTGGTAATTCAACCTCTGCCTGCAATAAGTTACAACCAAAATTCTGGATTCAATTGTCCTAATTCAAAACTACCTGTGAAATGTATATTCAGCTGAACAAAAAAGTCAGCCTACATTGATTTTTAAAAAATCATGTAAGTATGTCATGTTTTTGAATTGTGTTTTTAAAAAGCCATAAGTTTGGGTTACAAGAACCCAATCCAATTCTGAAAGACATTCTTTCCAGGAAAAACTTGTTCATGCCAAACTATCAAATTCTCAATATAGAACAACTTCAAAACTCTCTCTACCTAGTTCAGTTTCTGAGTTACTTGAGATTATACATACGTTGCATTTCCTGCATTGAGCATAGGCTACAGACGTCCTTTCTTAATTTCATTCAGCTATATTTTAGTTTAAGTTAGTTTCAGTTTGTCCTACGGTAGTTGTAACTTTATCATAGCTCCCTATTTAAAAGTAACCTTGTAGAAAGATGCCCTGCTTTCGGCTAGCAGAGTGCTGCAGGAGGCCGTGGAGGCTGAAAACGGGCTGCCCCCTTCCCTCCGCCCCCGCAGCCTGTTTTGGCTGGCAGAGGCACCGCGGGCCAGTCCTTTGATATTTCCAGGCCAGCCCCATGGACCAGATTTAAGCACCCCGTAGGCCTTGGATTTAACACCCCTGATATACAACTTTGCTACAGCCCATTTTAGCAGTGCTTTTAAATGGTCATCTTTCATTAAAAGTACAGAGGTTTGTATGGGCCAGAATTCTCTCAGAGTTCAATGGTCTCTTTATTTGTACTGGCTCTCAAGACTTGCCTTCTTACCACATGTACAGGATAAATTCTGTGAACACTTTGCTGGCGGTTAAGACTTTTAAGAATAAAGCAGGTGGTTAAGACTTTTACCATCCTCCTCCTTCCTCTTCTGATTAATGTACGACCCACTTGTCTCTTGCAGAATGTCGAGATGTTGAGCAGCATGGATTCAGCCTCCATCAGAATCATCAAGCCTTTCCCTGTTGTGCCCCCAGCAAGTCGGCACCAGCCTTTGCAGTCCATCGTACCGGTGTCTGTGGCAGCAGGGCCCCCAAAACTGGATCACCAAAGAATGGACACCATCCAAGAGGATCCAAGCACAGACTCCCATATGGAGGAGGATTGCTTTGAGAAGGATCCTTTTCCAAACAACAGTACAGCTGCCAAATCATTTGAAGACCTGACAGATCACCCGGTCACCAGGAGTGAGAAAAGCTCTTTTAAACTGCAGCGCCAGCAAAGGGTAGACAGCAAAGAAACTGAGTGCTAGTCTGCCTTCTCAGCTGCTGATTCTTCTGCGCAAAATCAATTTCAGCTAGTTGATCTAAAACCATTTCATTGTATTCTCTGCCTCTCTGTGCGTCTGTGTTCGTGTGTGTGTATGAATTTGTACATGTATACACATATATATGTATACTGAGAAAAAAGTAAGGAAGTGACCAACTGCAGATGCTGGCCATATGTATGATCTTCCTGATAGCAGTATGAATGAGTACTGCCTAAAAGCATAAAAAGTGAGGTCAGATATTGGGGTTTTTTGACTCTTTTCTGTATTCTCAAATTGAACCTACCCTTCCATTGATGGAATCAAGCCATAATCTCTCTGACCCAAGATTTGTGAATCTTAGTATTTTTATAATGTGCCTTCTTGGTATTAAACAGCACTACCCAAACAAATTTCTTATTCCCCTCCAGAATACAGTCCTTCCAAATAAATGAAGTCTTCTTGTATTAGAGAATTGAGGAATGCTGCTAAACAGTATTTATTTTTAAATGAAAGATGAAGGGAATCTTTAAATTTAATTGATATTTAGGAAAGGCAGAGATTTCAGCTAAATCATAGCAGCTCATTACTTCAATGCAAATCTTGGAATCTGAGAATTTTTTTCAGAATAAAATACAGTGTGGATTTAATTATGCTGTTCTGATCGGAACCCAACAGGAAGATAATCAAAACCCAATTGAGATAGAAGCAATCTTTTCATCGATTTTCAGATTTGTATGCACATAGCGTGCTGGATGTTAATCTCTGATGCAAAACAAGCAGCTTAAAGGTGCAATTGTCATTTCACCTCTTTCACTTTGTGAGGAAGGAATGTAAGTCTAGAAAGAGATGAGACTTCATAAAACTGTATTTCAAAACATGTTAGTGTACCGTATCCAAGGCATCTGCGTGTTGTTTCAGCTAGGGCGTATTTCGCATTGCATTTTTATGGCTGATCTGCTTCTGTGGGAAAGCAACCATTGTGGGTGCCATGAGGAAAAAGACCTGAGCATCTTGTGGGGGGCTCCTTTGCCACTAGCCTGACTTATCTCAGTCCTGATCACCGTCAAGTGCCAATTGCTGCCTTTTGTGACTTTCTCCGGGCCTTTTGCTGAGTGAGCAAAAGCAGGAACAGCACAGCCCTCTCCTTTTGCTTGGAAGGGATCTGATCTCAAAGAGTGGAGGCAGTGCATATAGAAACGGTTGGCTCACGATTAAAAGGATAGCATTATTTCCGATTGCTCATCTAATCATGCCCTAAGTTATGCTTTATGTAAAACACAACAGCTTGGGAGCTGGTCCACGTGTCAAATGACTGATGAAACATTTGTATTTTGTAGCATCTAATTTAACAAACTGTACATTTTTCATGGGTATTTGTTACACTACTTGAATTTGTGTCCCTGAGGTATTTTTACCATAGTCTGTTAATTGTTTAGAATTCATACCCAGCTGTTAAAGTAACCTTTATCTGAGGAGTAAGAGCTCCCATTGCCATGTAATAAAATGATTTTCTAAAAGATATTGAAATATGAAACTAGTTGGTGTTAATTAAAGCTTCAGGTTTTTCAGGCCCTGGAGATGTCAACCCTGGCTGGGCTCCTAAAGCAAAGCAAGGCCCGGTTAGTAGCAATAGTAATAGCACTTAGACTTGTATACCACTTCACAGTGCTTTTACACCCCTCTCTAAGCAGTAAACAGAGTCAGCATATTGCCTCCAATTATCTGGGTCCTCGTTTTACCCTAACCCTAACTCTTGAACCTGGTGAGATTTGTACTGCCAAATTACAGGCAGCCGACACTCAGTAGCCTGCAGTACTGCACTCTAACCATTGTGCCACCCTGGCTTATAGTACCTGGATGTAGCAGATTCAGCAAGAATCCCTCAACTGTAGGCTAGATTAGACATACCAAAAACGTTGTAGGAGCAGGAAGAAACAACTGCCCATATTGTTGCAAAGCTACTTGCATGATTGTGTCTATAGGGTCACAAGTTAAGCTTGTATCAAGGACAACTTAGAAATGTTCTTCATGAGATGCATCTTGGCATTAATCGAATAGTTGTGATTATTGATACGCAAGTCCACCTTTTTCTGTGATAATTTAAAAGCTTCAATAACCTGTTAAACATTGCACTTCAACATGTGTCGTAATAACCAAGGCAATTAAATGCTGCAGTTGTCTATTCTATCAACTTGTATTCCGGAAACAGCTATGCGGGATGTTTGTAGACTGATGAGTGGTCTAAAATATTTGTTTCGCCCTTGTATTTTCAATTGTATAGGGAGGACGTGGCTGTAACTGATAATAGATGCAATAGCAGCAATCAAACATAGAACCTTGTTCTTTAAAAACCGTTCAGCTCATCTTAGTATGGTATTGTCAACTGCTGAACATTGGATAAAAAGGAATCTGTTGGCATGCTGCTTGAGTTAGTTGACTGATTATGATAGGCAGAGTTGCCCATCCTTGTTCTATTCATTTAGCAAGGTGAACACCACAGAAATCAGACGAAGTCATTGGTAATGTAACTACTGTCCGGTGAAATATCTAAGGAGGAAGCTTGAAATGGTCTATGTCCCACTTGAAGCAGAAGTTGATATTAGAAAATAGCAGAAAGCACATTTTGATGCATTCTGGGTTGGGCCTTGCATTTAAACTGCCTTCTTTTGGCAGCTCTGATGGAATTTCCAAAGAGCTGCCTGCCCACTTCCTTCCAACCAGCAAATGTTAGCTGCTGACTGAACCTACTAAGCTATTTTTTTAGACTAAGCACCCACATCAGCAAAAATTAAACAGCCAAAAGACCTTTTGCTTGTACTGTTATGATTGTGGTTCTTGTTTACCAAATTATCACTCAGTCCAAGACCAATATCAGCTTGGATTACACATACTTTACACATAGTTTTAAACACCTTAGTGGTAAAACATTGCTTTTACCACTTTAGTCATTGTGGTTTGGTATGTTTCTCACCACAACTATATGAGCAGTTCTCTCCCCGTTGTGTCCCTGTTTCCCTCTGAAATCAGAATGTCACCTTAGTGGTAACCTACCAACCAGATTAAACCTTCATTGCATCTCTAAAACATTTGATTGTTTTCCCTAACATTTCACTTAGCAGGACTTCTACATTACTTTCTCCAAAGTGCCCAAAGACAATTTTTGCTATTATTTCATTCACACTGTTGATTGTCTCAGTCAGGGTCATCACCATCCACATTCTCAAGCTTTGGTCAAGCTTGATTCAGAATTATCAATTATCGTAATCGTCTTGGATTACAATTGCTATCTATATTGTTTGCATTAACTATTGTCCCTCCATCTTTTAATTCCATCTTTTAATCCCTATGTCATATGATTCTGTACCCCCAATACAAAATCCTGATTGCTAATGTCCACTCCAGAAATCATTAGCATTTACCAACCTAAGTAAGTCACCTGGCCACTTGCTGTATGCATGATCCTGGGTTACTTAACCAATTTGCTATTGCCAGAAGAGAAAGATTTCTTAGGGCAAGAGTGGAACCCACTGGCACTCCTGAATATCAATTCTGGGGTTGAAGAAATAAAATGTAGCCTTTTTCCCCCCTTTGCGTTTTGGAAAATCCAGAGGGTGTGGCAAGCACTCCCCCTTTAAGATCCCTTCTAAAATAGTCTTAATTCTTAAGCCAATAGTCTTTGGGAGTGCAACCCCCCAAACGCTATCCAAAACCTGGTGATCCTATCAAATAACCCAAGTTAGACACCTAGCCCTGTTCTGAGCCTGAAATATAGTCTAAAGTTTTGTAGCAATATGGGATTGTCTGATCCATCAGGCTTGGTTTGTCTGTTTCTTGCTCGTATTGATAATTTTCTTACGCGTACCATGTGCATTTTAATTTTCAACAGGTAATTGTCCTATCTATGGCAGTCACTAGTTACATAATTAGAAGAGTCAGCAATTATGCATGAATATCGAAAGGCCTAATAATTGAGAATGCAAGTTCATATCAGTATACTCTTTTAAGAATTGGTATCGCGGATCATGGAAAAAAGGAAATTTTATTTTGTATCCACAAAACCCACGGATGTTATTCTTTTTATTGCTTCTTAGTAGTGGGGATGCCCAGGAGACTAGCTTCAGGATAGAGATGATCTACATCACGCCAGTAGGGAAGCAACTGAGGAAGGGCTGACAATTTTTTTTCTAGGAGGGTCCAAAGTTGGTTTGCTAGAAAAGTATTTCCTTTTTCTGATAAATGGAGTCCATCTGACAGGTAACAGCCGAAGTCCTAAATCAGAGATTTCACAAAATATAAAATGTCGTGAATTGTTCAGATGATTTAACAGAAAGAAACTTAAGCCATAAATACAGCGTACGACCATAATTGAGCCTAAAATTTCTATTTCTAAGGGAGACGTTTGTTAAATGAATTTTGCCCCCTTTTACAACCCTGCCACAGTTTTTAAGGAAACCACTGCAGTTAAGTTAGTAACACAGTTATTAAGTGAATCTGTCTTCCCCACTGACTTGCTTGTCAGAAGGTTGCAAAAAGTGATCCCAGGATCCCAGGACACTGCAACTGTCGTAACTATGAACCCAGTTGCCAAGCATTTGAATTTGGATCACATGACCACGGGGAATGTCCCAACAGTCGTAAGCGTGAAAAACTCTCGTAAGTCACTCTTTTAATGCAGTTGTAACTTTGAACAGTCAATAAATGAACTGTGTTAAGCCAAAGGACTACTGGTGTTAATCATTGTTCGACTAATCTGCCCGTCTGCAAAATAGAACATGATGAGCTTCTAAGGGAGATTGTGCACCCACTAAGGAAATCAGCTTCACTTTGCTGCAGACACCGCGCAAATGACAATCTCTGAAATCTTACCTGGTTTCCTTTTTGCATAAGTGTCCACAGGTCAATGACATCAGTGCCACATTCTTCAGCTACTTTAACACAAGCCTTTGCATATTCCCCAGTGACAGAATTTAGACGATTTAGTTTTTCACCTGTTGAGAATTCAGGGGTGGGGAGGAAGGGGGGTGATACACATCAAACTTAAATGCTGAGTCCAGCTTTTCCTTTTTGAGTAACAAACATGAATCACAAGTAGATCCAGATAATGCAACTCACTACCCTTAGGCTTTAACACGGTACAGGTAGTCCTCATTTAAGGACCCCACTTGGTTTTCAAGCTAAGCAGTTACTAAGTGGAACTACAAAGGTGCTTCAGAATTCCTTTGCTTTGTAGATTTGTGAAGGTCATAAATATGAGGATTGGTCACAAGTCACTGTCACAACTAAAAACAGTTGCTAAGTGAGAACAACCGCTAAACAAGGGGGAATCTGTGGACAAGCAGAATAACAATATACTTTCTTCCAGCTCCAGTCCCATCCAGATGTAGATGTGGGCAATTTTTGGAATTTATGTGTAAGGAATTAAGCTTAATTAAGAATTTAATTTAATTTAGATCCAGAATTAATTTTTGCTATTCTCATTAAGTCCAACCCATTGATCTGTTGGAACGAAAGCAGGAAAAAAAAATCAGAATTGTCCTTGTCTCTCCTTCACCAGGTAATCTTTCCAAAGCCCTAATAAAATGAAAATAAATTTAGCGTTAGGAGAAATGTCACAGAAGAAAAATAAAGGTAAAAATGGGTTGGTTCCAACTAGCGGCTGCAGAAAAAAACTGAAAAAATTGCCCCAATGCATCCTTCCGGGAGAACCAGCTGGATAATGAACTGGAAAACTGTGATTGGGCCAGTCTAGACTCACTTCCCTCCTACTGTAGTCAGGTGACTTAGTGCAGTGTACATTTAGTCCGCCCTCTGCTTCCCTCTGCACACATACACAAAGAGGTGTAACATGAGGACAGAGCTGAAGTATAGAAACTCATAACTTTATTACAAGGGAGGAAACAAAATGGCCTCTGGCCACTGCTGTTAAAGAGGCTGAAATGGATTCTAGAATCCATGCTCTGAGCATTCTTCCTTGTGTGCTTGCTGTATTTTGAATTTTTGCATATGAATTCATAATGGAAGGGATCTTGTGCCATATATATGAATGAAAAACCAAGTTCTGTAACAGTTTTCCAATATCAGGACTCCTGTCTTGACTAGATTCTGTGGTGACATTACAATCCAGGAACATCCAGACATTTTGCTAACCAAATTAGATCTGGCACCCATTTTTCTTTTTCCTAACAAGAGCTATCAGAACGGACAAAACTGGATGTAAATATATGTATAGTGTAGAACCACAGTTGGGTACAGAGAATCCTTTTGCTGACCATAATATCACATGCAGTAAAGCTTAGAAGCTAATTTTGCCTTCATAGGATGATTCTGCAGATGATTTTGAGCTACTGTGTTGTCTTTTTTTAAAAAAGCTATTTCCGTACAGTTGAATGCTTTGGTTCTAATTTTAAGATGGAAATAAATAAACGGTCATTTTATTTGCAAAGAAAAAAAAAAAAAAGCTAATAGGACAAACTTGGCAGAGCTCATGGAAAAAGGCTAGGCCAAACAGTCTATTCCTGGTATAACTTAACTAGGTAGAACATGGAATAAACCGTGCAGGTGAAGTTTGCCAATTCTATTTAAATAGGAATTTTTAAAAAATGCCTCACCTTTAGCCATGCACTCTTTTTCCCAACTAGCTTCATGAAGGGGTGGTGGAGTCACTAATATAATGTCCTGTTTGGAAATGTCCACAGAGTTGAGGTAGCCTATCATACTTTTCAAATTGTCAGCATACTCCTCCAGTGGAACGTGCTGTCTCGGGTTCTCATCTGTTTAATGAGATACAGGAGTTAACTTTCTGGTAGTTGTTGTGCTCTGGTCATGTGTTGTTTCTTACACAGCCCTTCTCAAGCTGGGAAAAGGTAGGAGAGTTAAGTAAAACTGGGAGGGGAAGGAAGCAAAAAGCTCCCAATCTAAATACATTTTCGCAAAGCAAAGAAAGTGCTAACTTGGCTACAAAATCAATTAAGACACAAGGAACACCGAGAAAGACAGTGGAGTCCCTGTTTCCTTGAAAGACGCTCACCCCTCCCAGCATGGATCTTTTGCAAGGAAAATACAGTTAGCTGCTGGATCAGCCATACAGCCCTGGACATCAAGAATGCTGATTCAGCAGCCTGGCAAGCAATGAAACATCATCTCAGTAACACATTCTAAGCACTTTTGCAGTGGTGGGATTGGAATAACTTAACAACTGGTTCTCTGGCTGGCTAGGTGTGTCTGGTTGGTCATGTGACTGGGTGGGTGATGTTATGTCACTCATCACACCCAGCCCCGCCTCCTGACCACTCACCTCCAAGGCAGAGGTAGGGTTCAGCCACTGGCTGGCCCGCCCCTGCCTGTTTTTTGGCTATTTTTCAGGCCATTTTGGACTAAAAACAACCAAAAAACAGCCCAGAAAATGGCCTGAAAACAGCCCCAAAACCAACCAGGTTTTTTGGCTGTTTTGGGGCCTGTTTTTCAGGCTGAAAATGGCCCAGAAAACAAGCAGGGGCAGCCAGTGGTGAGATTTGCCGGTTCGCCGAACTGCACAGAATCTTAACCACTGGTTCGCCTGAACTGGGGCAAACCAGCAGCAGCTCACCTCTGCGCTTTTGTTGAAATTCAAGCAAGCCATTATATTTTCCCCATTACTTCAACAGCTAACACTAACATGCATCTTGCCATAATCCAAGAAAGTGGATTTAATCTGCTGATTAAATGTATCTGGAGCAGTGCGTGAAGGCTTTAAAATATTTGAAGTAACATACTTTTCAACACCAGCCTAACAAAACCTCAAATTCGAAGAGTAGGATGAAGAATCAAAATGTTCTATACCTTTCAAAGCGCTGTCATTTGCCCCAAAGAAAACAGTCACTGCCAGGATGTTTCCAGCATTATGGTCTTTGTGGATTAATCTTGGAAGAACAATTTTAGCCCACCTGGTGTTGTAGCCAGAGAGTCCACGATTCAAGACATCGCATTTTCTAAAACGAGTATACACATAAAATGAGTGTCTCTCTGTGTGTCTCATTATGTGATAAATCTACATCTTGAAATGGTAAAGATTGGCCAGGGAATTATTCAATATTGTATTCCATATAGGTTATTCAGAATTTTAGTCCCAAAGAATTCACAGATACATACTACCAGTCAAATTGATTTAGCACTTAGCATGAATCTGACTTTCTCGTCCTCTCCTCTCCATAATGTATCATATTCCACGTTGAAAAGAAGCTTTTTGTATCTTTCATCATTCCTACCCAGAATTCTTACACATTTTCTTATTGTCAAACCTTATTTACAATGCAGCACAAACACGACGTTTATGTTTGCAGTCAATTTCCAATGTATTTCCAGGCATTGCGCTTCATTATAGATTTGAAGAGCCTGAACTACTAGAGAGGCCCAGTAGAGCTTTTAGAAATTGTTTAAAAATTGGTGGGGGAACATAATTGTAGACTATAAAGAAGATGACTTTGAGGAAAATATGCAGGAATTGTTGCCAAGGCAAAAGAGGAGGGAACACTGTTTAAGTGGAGAGGAACGAGATCCCTCCCTAATTCACTGAATCAAAGGAGATAGGGAAGATATATCACAGCCACACTTGCACAATTCTGTTATTCTAGCAATCTCAATAAAAGTGGGTTTTGCCCTGCCATGCAGTTGATTTCATGGTCTGATCTACCTGGTGGGGTTGGCAACTCATCAACAACAAATCAGATGCCAAAGGAGCCCAAACACAGATTAATAATAACAGTAAAAGGGGTGGATGGGAAGCAAGGAGTCTACCATTTACATTAAGAGGAACATTAATTTCACTGGTTCCACAGTGATCGCTTACGATCTCCTATGTGTCAGATGTAGTGGCTCAACGGCTAAGACGCTGAGCTTGTTGATCAGAAAGGTTGGCTCCTGTTACTTGTCCCCGCTTCTGCCAACCTAGCAGTTCGAAAGCATGTAAAAATGCAAGTAGAAAAATAGGGACCACTTTGGTGGGAAGTAACAGGGTTCTGTGCGCCTTTGGCATTTAGTCATGCCAGCCACATGACCACGGAGACGTCTTCGGACAGCGCTGGCTCTTCAGCTTTGTAATGGAGATGAGCACTGCCCCCTAGAGCCAGAAATGATGAGCACATACGTGCGAGGGGAACCTTTACCTTATGTGTCAGATGATAACATCATCAAGAATGCAATCTGGAGAGAAGTATTATTTGAAAATTCTGACAGTGTGTTTCCTTTCAATATGACAAAAGACCTGACAAGGTGGGAGGTAAAACTAATAAAGAAAATGCTAGTATTCCTTACCTAGCTAATCTATTAGCAAGTGACGCGCCCCATCCCTTATCTTGGAAGGAAAACTAGAAGAAAGACAATTAACAATGTAAATGCAAAGATCCCAATCAATGTACTAGTTCTTACAGTTCAGCCTAGTGTCTTTGACATTATTGTAATATTTTAAGCATCATACACAGTGACTCCTTGCAATTAAGTGCAGTACCAAATTTAGGGCTACCAGTTCTGAGTTGCAAAGTTCTCTGCAGTAGATGGCAATAATGAGGCACAGGAAACTCTCTGCTGCCACGAAGGGATTGTTTAACATTTGACAGCCCCATACCTGGTAGCACCTGCGTAATTTCTCCCTTAGTAAAAGCCAATGTACATCAGACAACTGTATGAATTATTTACTTTGAAAAGTGGCAAAATACCTGCAAGGCAGAATAGGGCATCTACTGATATATTTGAAAACAAAACTGGAAAACCACCATCCACCAGCCTTAATGCATTACCAGCGTTCCCAATCCAGAATCTAGGACTACAAAGCCCCAGGTCTACTCAGGGAACTGCCTCCTCTGTTCACAGGAACTCTGGAAGTGGTCACCATCATCATCCATTTGAGCAGGAAGTTTGGTTGCTTTCTTTTCCAAAGTACACATGTAAGAAATGTTGTGGGGAAGATGTGGAATTTGGCCCTTGGATCTCAATTCTTCAACTTTACCTTGAGATGGATGTCATTTGAAACACTGTTGCATGTGCACGTACATAAGTATGTAGTTTTGTACTGTACACATGATCCTGTACTTACGACTGTTCATTTAAGGACAATTTAAAATTACAACAACCTGTCCTCGCACTTATGGCCATCGTATCACCCCTACAGTCCTATGATCACAATCTTCCCAGCCTATTTCCTATAAAGAACAGCAATTGGAAAGATAGATTTGCTTAATGACCAAGTTTTATTTAACTGTAGTGATTTGTTTAATGACTGTGCTAAAAATGGCTATAAAATCAGATCCAGTTGATGACTCACTTTATGACCACACTGATTTATTATGAAATTCTGATCCCAGTTCTGGTTGTAATCAAGGACTACCAGTATAAAACATGCAGTCTATTGCATCTGATCAAGAGTTGGTTGGGAATCCTTCAGTATCAGGTGCTTTTATGTAGACCATTGGAAATAACAGGTAGCCAAAATAAAGAGGCTAAAAATATCAGTGAATATTAAATCCCACAGATACTTTTTCAAGAGGCAACTGGAATTTATTTTGTTTGAAGACATTTCGCTTCTCAGAATTGAAGCTTCTTGGATGAGAAGCAAAACATCTTTTTTTTTTTTTGATCTGGATGACTAAAAACCTCCATAGGCCATATTAAGGTTTTTTGCAATCTGACTACCTACAAATATTCTGACTAAATGAAAAAGCAATGTGTAAATAACGTCATGTATGTATGGATATATGAGAGGTGCTATTCTCACTGACTATTATGAAATAGGGATGGATAGGCCTTTAGATCATAGTGAGCAACTTCTGCTTAAGGGCAAAATAGACATGGGTTGAAAGTCCCAGTTGGAATCTGAAGGAGGAGAGATATTCCTTTACCTATTCCCACATTCTAAGGACTATTTTAAGATGGATAAAAATAATAATAATGCAGTCTTTACATTTCAGATTAAGCATGACAATCTAGCGAGGCAGGCCAGGTCAGAAGTCATTTTTGACTTTCCCAACTATTTCAGCAAAAGTACTGACACTCCTGACTGTATTTTCAATTACAGTCATTGTATTTTCAATTACTGTATGCTGTCTGGGTGGTGATTGGAGCTTGGTACAGAGAGAAAGCCCGTTTCCAAACTTCTCCTATCTCCTTAAATTTTAAGTCAGATTCAATTAATCTCCTCTTTCCCGGTTTTTTTACTTTGGCTCCAAGCCTGGCAAAATCCAATCCACCTTAAGCAAGGGAAGTCTTCCCGTCCCCTCTCCGAGCCTCTTTGGGCAGCTCAAAAGAAAACTCCACCTGGTGAATTTCTACTCAAGAAGAGAGAGAGAGAAAAAATACCTTCAGTATAATTTTTTTCTAACAGAAAAATTCATAGGTAGAAAAAAAATTCTATCCCAAAATTTCTACTTAAGAAGAGGAGACTGGACAGGCCACTTGTCTGAAATGGTATAAGGTCTCCTGCTTGGGCAGGGGGCTGGGTTGGACTACAAGACCTCTAAAGTTCCTTTCAGCTCTATTTTGAATTGAATATACCTCCGAAGAGATCGAGGCTGCAGGCGATTGGGGGGGGGGGGGGGGAATTGTAAGTAAGTAAGTAAGAGGAAAAAGGAGAATAAAAGCAGGAGGTGTGAAAATCAATCAGAAGCGGGGGAAGGGAGGGAGAAGGGGCGCAGGGCCTCTGCGTCTGTTTTGGGGCCATGTCCCACTCACCCCCACCCCGCACCCCCAGGCACCTCAGTAATGGAGTCTCCGAAAAGCACGATCCGAGGCAACCGAAGGAGCCCCCTTGCAGCCCCCGCTTCCGACAAAGCCATGCTTTCGCTTTTGCAGCAGCGGTTACAGGCGGAGCGGCTCCACCGGGTGTGTGTATGTGTGCGCTGTGTGAGTGTGCAAAGGGGGCGGGGCAGCTGTGCTGGCGGTCGAGCCTGCGTGCTCTTTCTTTTAAAAAATAAATAAATAACTATCGTGGATCTTGCAGCCGGGAATCGCTTCAGGGACACACACCGAACCGGAATGTTTTTCGGGTCCTCCTCCGGCTCATTTGACCTCAGAGGCGGAGAGCGATGAAAGAAATGAAAAAAAAAAAAATAGACTCGATCTTCAAAGACCGATGGGAGAGGCCCGATCTCTTTCAGGGGGATCCGTTTTGCACAATAGCCAGACCTTGTTTTTTTTTCCTTCGGGGTTGGCAGCCTTGCAAGAAGTTGGGAGTTCCCAACAGGTCAAGACAATTGGTTTTCCTTGAGCCTTTTCTTCCTGTCTGGGTCTCCAAACTGCTTGATTCAGACAATTAAAGCTTCTCTTGCAAGGAGACAAGACAAGAGGCCGGTGCAGAATCACAAAACTTCGTTTTTGCCAACTGGAGCATGAGACGTCAAAAGGGACAGAAGCAACCCAATCGTTACGTTTAACATAACATTCAGGTTTATGTGAAAGAAGGTCTGTGGAGATTCTCAGTCATCCAGGTCATAGTTGTCTCAAAGGTGCTTTTTTTTTTCTTCTTCAAAAGGCAACTGGACTGTTTTTCCTTGAGGAGGAAGAAAACGTTTTGCTTCTCATCCAACAATTTCCTCAGTTGTGATGGTAGGAGGAGTGGGAAGGACAGGTTCTGGAAGGATTGTGTTTGTGTTAGTGACAAATAAGTAGTTTGGGTGTAGGATGAGGGTGGAGGTTGATTTTCCAAACTTGTGGGTTGGTTTCTGGATGTTTCCTTACCAAACTAGTGTTGGGTGAAAATCCATCTAATTCAGTTCCAAGGGGGGGGGGGGGGGGGGGGGGGGGGGAGGCGCTGGAAACAAAATGGAGGATGGTTGGAAAGAAAGTTTATTGAAGAACAGAACCCACAGTGTGCTGTTCTGGGACAGTTGATAAAATAATGTTGAGAGTAGGGTGGGTTTGTATACCTTTTTGATTTCTATGGGTCATGTAGGGGTCATGGCTGGCTGTATAGGCAAAGGGCGAAATGCAAATCCTAGATGTTTGAGCTAATCTTGTCTTGCCTACTGGCTTATCTGGAATTTCTGACTGACCCTGTCTTTCTGAATGGAGTACCAAATCTGCATTTCTAAAAGCTGGCCTCATCAGTTTCTGCTTGGGGCAGGGAGACTGGTGCTGGTTTCTGCCTCCCTTATGATTTTTTTTACCCATAGAAAATATTCTATCCTGCCTTTTTAATTTCCCCCAAAATATTTCATTCTCTAGAAGGATGGGTTGATGCTGCCTTTCTACAATAAGTAACATTTTCCGCAGAATTTATGGAATGTCAGAGTTGGTATTCTGTTCATAAGGGCTTCTGTGGTCAGTAGGTCTGTGATGAGAGGGTCACATCAAGTAAGGGTCTTGTGAGGAGTCAGGTGTGGGTTAGGATTGTATTTCTTTGCAGTCACTGGTAGTTAACACTCTGAGAGCTGTTGAGGCCACTTGGGGGTTTAACTGCTTTATCTGTTTATCTGGGTTTGATGTTATGTTGTACCATGCGCTTGTGAAGCAGTTGTTTTGTGTCACCAATGTATGGCTCTGTACATGTCTCACTGGATTGTATTGCATATATCATATCACTCAGTTTGTGCCTGGGTGGTTTTATCCTTGGGTTAAAAGTGTACATGTATGTTTGTGTCGGTTGAAAATCATCCTGGGCTTTTCAGATATTCCTATAACATATGGAATGACAATGTTGCTACATTTGTTCTCTTTGTCTGTAATGGAGGGGCTTCTGCTGTGTCTTTTTTATTATTATTATTTGATGAAGACCCAGTTAGAAGAATCACAAGTTCTGAGGGATTCCTTAACATGTTTTAGTTCTTTTTCTTTTCCCTTTTACTGGTAGGCAAACCTTCAGCCCAGTGGTTTAGAGTACTGATCACTCCCATTTTGTGCTCCAGGTGGTAGTGAGAATCAAAATGTAAATACTGATGTGTGTGCAGTTTTCTGCAAGCTTCAATGCTAAGGTTTCTATATTTCTTAATGTGCACTGCACAGTCCAGGAAAGCCAGACTTATTCCCTTAGCAGTCTATCCCATGTGAATGTAATGTATCTGTCCATAGAGGTGATGAAGGCCAGAGGCTCCCCATCTCATCCGAACCACTCTAAGCAGCTGATACAGCGACCACCTGGAGATGCCAGGCTATTCCTTCCTCTGCTCCCCCTCCCCATCACTGCCCACCCTGCTCTCCCAATTCACCTGTATAGCCAGCCAGCCGTGCCAGCCCATTCTCTCCGTGCCAGCCATCTCTCTCCTCCCACCGTGAAGCCCCAGTTCTGCAGGCGAAAAGTGAAGGGAGCAAATGTGCTGCTCAGGAGCCAAGCAGAAGATATTTCTTTTCGGGACAAAGTGGAAATCCCCTCTTCCAGCTTTGGTCTTTTGCTCACGCTAGGGAAAGGAGCCTGCAGGACTCTCTTTCCGTTATTTTCAAAAAATCCTTGTGAATTTTATTTTTTTTTAGAAACTCTTTGAATACCAAAATGCAATTATTTTTTGCTTTTGCTTTGGTTGTATGTCTTAGCCAATAATAGATTTTTTAAAAAAGTCAAGAGATGTTGGATTACAACCTTAGACACAAAGAAAATGGACTTAGAGTTGAAAGACTTACTGTTCATCAGCAGAAAGACAAACATATGACTATAAACCATTCATTGAATTTATTATAGATCAGCTACGGATGTATGCTGTGACTTATGGCATCAATTTATTGAAATACATATGCCTGTAAGTATACATCTTGTATATTTTTGTTTCTTTTTTACTTTTTTCTCCCTTTTATAATTTTGCTTTTTGTTTTTGTATTCAGTTAGATTTTTAAAAGCTGTTCAGGCTATCATTGATCATACAGACTTCTCTAATTTGGTATAGGTTGGGTACCCTTTTTATTCTGCGGTCTCACAACAGTGAACATGCAGTAGATCAGGGGTGTTAAACTCAATGTCATTGAGGGTTGCATCAGGGCGGTAATTCACCTCGGGGGAACAGGCAGGCATGGCCAACTGGGTGGGTGTGGCCGACGGGGTCAGCATGGCCAACTGGGTGGGCAAGGCTAGTTTGACGCCACTCCCCAAAATGCTGGCATGTTTCCCCTTTGCATTGGGTAGACCAGGTGGAAGCCAGGCTGACCTGATCTTTCCTCTTCGCTTTGGGTAGACTGGCCTGAAGCCATACCGGCCCGATCTTTCCTCTTTGCATTGGGCCAAAGCCAGGCTGGACTGATCTTTCCTCTTCACATTGGGTAGACCAGGACGGTCCTGAGGGCCGGATCTGACCACATTGTGGGCTGGATCTGGCCTGTGGGCCTTGAGTTTGACACCCCTGCATTAGATGCTGTCCTGGATTAGAAACTAGCTAATAAACCTCAAGTCTAGATTGTTGCATAAATCCACGCTGTGTAATTAAGATTCAGTGTGTTGTATGAATTAAATAATGGCATCATCATGATTCAGCTTATTATATGAATACAGCTAGTAACAGCTAGTAATATGAACACGAAAGTATTTTCATGAAATACATATTTGATATAAAATGTATTCTATATATTTATAAATGTCTGTTTTAAGCAGAGGAGATAAATAGTCTGATAGGTCAACTTAAGCCCCACTGATGATAATGGCATCATATTTCAAAGTGCTGAACTATGTATCTCCTACACTCCCACTTTTCTGCACAGGCTATCGCTATGCCCCTGATGACTGACAGAACCACGAGGTGGCAGCAGCCATGACCAAAGGGCAACATTCGAGTGTAGGTGAAGGATAGATAAATCACAGAGGCCCCTGGTAAAATATGGCTGAAACATGGGGTAAAATTGAGAGCCAGCAGCATCTCCCTTTATAGATACCGCCATCTCTTGTCTGTGATAATAGCAGCTAGCAGGTGCCTGAGGATTATATTTGTTAGGCCTGGGAGATTTTATGCAGGCAAATTTGCAACTGGGCGACAGACTTCTGTGATGTCTTTTATTTAAATTTTTTTAAAAAGTTTTTATTGAATACACAAAAAAGAAAAAGACATTTAAAAACAATGGACGTGGTGCAATCATCCTGACACCCCTACATTAATTCATATAAAGAATAGTACATATTTACATTTTATATACATAGTATAAAATATATACATAAACATTAATGATTTTTTTATATTTTTTGATCCTTCCTAGTTTCTAACCAGTGATAAAACTTTCCCCCTATTTTGTAGTAATCAGAATCATCCTTGTTTTTTAATTCTTGTATCAATTTATCCATTTCTATGCAATTCCAAATTTTCCTAATTATTTCTATTTCATGTGGAGTTTCTTTACATTTCCATTTTGGGGCATAAAGTAATCTGGTAGCTGTGATTACATGGATTATTAAATATATTATATCTTTGTCATGTTTTCCCACATTAATTCCCAACAGAAAATTTTTGGGTCTATATTGTGATATCTTTTGAGGGAAAGCATCCAGACTGATCTCCATTGGGCCACTGGCAGCAATCTGAGGGGGCTGCTTAACTTCCGGGATGTCATATGGTACACATCATGACCCGTGCCACAATTCTTTACTGGTCCATGATATCAAAAGAGGACTTGTATCATCCCTTATCCTAATCCAGGAACTGCCAAAGACAAAACCACAGCTCCACCAACACTGGCAGGGTAAGCTGCTGTATGTGAATAAGCAGCAAACCAGTGGTGGGATTCAGTCGGTTCGCACGGGTTTGATAGAACTGGTAACTAATTTTTGGTCAGTTTGGTGAACCGGCTTCCAAATGGACAGACTATTCTGTTCGTCCTTCTCCCATTCTCGATCTTTTCTCACATCTGCGGTGTAACCTGGGTTTGGGGATTTGGATACTACGGGGGCAGAAAGCAAAAGGTGGACTTGGCGGATTAGGGTGTTCACTGAAGGACCTGAGAGCGGGACACGGGGAGTCGATCACTTTCCTCGATTCT